AAAAAATCGGCCTGGAGCAAGACTCGAACCCACAACTCCTGCTTACCGTGCAGATGCATTGCCAGTTATGCTATCCAGACCTCCAGTCCGATCTCCTCTTCCAGTGTATATAAGCTAACTATATAACCATCGACGGTTATTACAACGCCGGCTGGGGACACATTCATGTCTCTAGAGATAGGTGCCTAACGCCTACCTCTAGAGACAAATTCGTTACGTAATTTATTTAGTAATTAGCCTAATACTAGCCCGATAGATTTTCGGCATATCGTTGGTGTTTAGTTATGTTAGATCTTAAATTATTTACAAAAGAGAAATACTAAGAGCATTGTCAAATAATAATAATACATCTAATATATCATTTATACATAATAATACACAAATTACTAAATTCTTTAAAACATTGTAGAATTTTGCTAGCCAATGTATTTTAAATAAAACAGCTGTTACATATTATTGAAACTTAAACAAATAGTAATTGATATTTTGACAATATGAAGTGGCTAAATATAAAAAAATCATTACTTATAATTGATTAGTATGAGGCATGTCCGGAAATAAGTACTGTTTCGTTCTACCACCACTGCAGCGGTAGTATCGCAGTTCAGTGCCTGTGCACAAGTGTCTCTGGTTGATCATCAGTCCAATGACACCATTACAGCCAGATTGTGTTGTTTTTCCATATGTTAGTGAGCATTCAAAATGTTTACGACGATTGCCGATCCTGCTAACTGAAGTGCATTCTGTAATATGGTTTTTGAATGCAAAGAATGTTAAGCCAGTTGAAATTCATTGTCAACTTGATTTATGGTGAAAATGTAATGAGTGATGGAATGGTGAGAAAGTGGGTTTGACAATTCAATGCTGGATGTACCAATGTTTATGACAAAGCACGGAGTGGCCAGCCTCCTGTTGTCAATGATGGTTTGGTTGCAAAAGTGAATGAGAAAATTCTTGAAAACAGACGGTTCACAATAAGATTGCTTGGTGACAAAGTTTCCACAAATTTCAAAAACTGTTTTGCATGAGATTGTCACAAATCACTTAAATTATTGCAAATTGTGTTCCGTTGGGTTCCCAAAATGCTTACAGATGTCCACAAAATGAAGCGACTTGGAAGTGCTTTGACATTTCTTACCCAATACAGTGAAGAGGGTAATGATTTCCTAAACAAAATTGTTACCAGTGATGAAACTTGGGTTTGTCATGTCACTCCAGAATCAAAACAACAGTCAATGGAGTGGAGGCACTCATGGTCCCCAACAAGACACAAATTCAAAACAAAGTTGTCAGCACGAAAAATCATGAGCACTGTGTTCTGGGACAGACAGGGCATTCTGCTTGTTGAGTTCCTTCCCAGAGGTGAAACCATCAATGCAGAACGATACTGTGAAACATTGTGAAAACTTCGCCGTGCAATTCAAAACAAAAGGCATGGAAGTCTCAGTAAAGGCATTATGTTGCTTCATGACAACACATGTCCCCATACTGCTGGTGTCACTCAAAACCTTATTCAACAATTCGGTTGGGAGCAGTTCGATCACCTGCCATACAGCTCCAACCTCACACCTGCAGACTACCATTTGTTCTTGAACTTGAAGCGATTTTGGAGGGAGGCGCTTTGCCAGCAATGACCACACAACAACCGATGTTCAGCACTGCTGTCTTCACTGGCAACATCTTTCTTGAAGAAGGTATAGACAAGTTGGTTTCCCAATATGACAGATGTCTGAACAATGGTGGTAACTATGTAGAAAAATAGTTTCCGACATGCTCTTCCACATAAAAATAAATTTTGTTTTCAAAAAGATTTTTTATGCGAGTTTTTCCAAAACAGTACTTACTTTCCGGACATGCCTCGTATTAAATGGTTTTCATAAATATATATTTGAAGTACAAAGTAATTAAAAATNAAAAAAATATTAAAAATTTGGCACACACAATATTACAAAAACAGATTTAATATAAAAAATAAAAAAGGAGGAAAAAATTACAAAGCCTTCCCTCACATAACTAATATTTATGATAACTGTTCCAAACTTTTAAACAAAGATAGTGTTTTTGGTCCCATCTTTGACTAATAAAATTTCATACACTCTGAATAAAATAGGTAAACAAAAAACCAAAAATAGATAAATTGAAAAAAACTGGTACAGTTTACAAGATAAGCTGCAACTATCAGAATCCAAAAGAATACATAGGGGAAACAGGAAGGACATTAGAATTACGTATAAAAGAACATGAAGCTGCCATAAGACTAAAACATAATAATTCCCCACGGTTTAACCACACAAAAAATAGCAACTGCCAAATTGATAGAAATAATATTAAAGTCCTACACTACGAAAAAGATATTTATAAATGGAAATTTAAGGAACACAGAAATAATAAAATATAATAATAATAATTTAATAAATGTGTCAACCGGTATGCAAATAGACCAACAATGGTATACAATAATAGAGGGCGCTAAGATAGATTAGTTACATCATAAGGATTATACATTGTCGGAGTAATAAATTTGTTGTTGTATTCTAAGTTGTTGTTTTTTTAAAAGTAGTGCAAACATATACTGTCAAATTTTGAAAGATAATATGCTTTTAATGAAAAAGAAATCTGTATGTATATTTATTTTATTATTTTTTAAAAATGGTTATTGTAAAATATTACTAAAATGTAAAAATTTATAATTAATAGTATAACAAACAGTACAAGTTTATGATGTAACAAGATACAAGTTAAATTACTTTAAGAACTTGTAAGAAATCAGTATGTATTTTAATTTGTTTAGTTAATTTATAAAAAAATTTTTGTTTAAACATTTGTAAAAAGTCACTATACATTACAATTTGTACATTATAAGGTAGCAAGCAGCCCTTTTTAAGATACAAGATACAAACCCTTTGAATAATTGCACACGCTGGTAAAAATACAGTCGACCCCCCTATAAGATATAGATACGTTCCAATTTATTAGGAATCCGATTTCTTACAAGTTGTTCCAATCACAGCCCGACACGTGTCAAGTTTACGGACTACGGCTGATTGAAAGGTTTTCTTCCATAAAATTAATCGATTCTACACTAATCCGACTCAACATTTCGAAAATATGTATATTTTTTCGTAGTTTTATAGGAATTGTAATTATAGGGACCGTAATTATAGGGGGGTCGACTGTATTGTAAATGGGACAAAAAGTACCGTATAAGTGTGAAAAATTAGAAACTCATGGAAACTCTTAAAAGGTATTATAAAATGTGGTTTTATTTTTGTTGTAACATCATCTACCCAAATTGTTTTTTATCAACTGTAAAAAGCAATAAAAGGAGTTTATAACCTGAACTGGCTGTGAGGTAGTCTACCAAAAAGATTTTTTCAGATTGAAGAGACATTCACTATATAAAAAATGTCATCTCAAAGGTAATAACAGCCAACAATCTGATTCGTCTGACTT